AGCCACCAACAGCCGAGAAGGAGTTGGTTGGTCAAGGACTAATGCAGCCCTAGTTGATCATTGTAATCAGAATCCTCAGTTCCAAGCCCAGTTCATCTGCCCTTGTTATAACAATCGTAACTCCTAAATTACCGCTCACTATTACCATGTACCTATTGGCAGCCTTGGTGATCTATAAGATCGCATCTCGGTTACGAGTTAGTACAGAGACTGGTCGCGAAGGGCTGGATGTTAGCAGTCAACATAACACACAGTTTTGAAGTATGCAGACAGGGTGTTGTCCATTAACGTATGCAATCAATAGTCTTCCTGTGTCATAGACGTACATGTGATACTCTTTACTGAGCCTGGCGATCTGCTTCGTGCTCAAATTAAATCGTAGTGGTGCAGTGCCGCAGTGGAAACGATGTGTTAACTTGTGTGGGCATTCCTCATTACTTCATTACGAACGACCGATACTTCCCGCTACCTCGCTTCTCTAGCTCTACGACTAGTGTAGATTTCCTGCTCTTCACTGCTGACAGATATAGCAAAGGTCTGGATTGCTCAATATAGTGTACACCAGGGTGGCCCAAGGAAAAAGCCGAGCTGGGACAGGATAGGGGTCGTTTCACGATGGAATAGGGAGCCGAGGGCGAAGACAGGACATCATTTTGATCGATTGCATTACCATATGACATAACTGCATCATCTGCCGGCATCAAAAAGTACATTGCTTGGGGCAGATCCATTTTCTGGCATGTGTTCCTTTGCTTGTCTCAGAACTGCACGGGCGCTGGCAATAAACGTCTTGCTGCAAAATTGTCAATCGTTTGACCGTTTACGGGCCCAGGCTGCAAACCCGTAGTCGCTATTAGAAATATCTAGATCCCATGGTCTTATAGCAGGTGTTTTCTTAGCCATTTGATATTCGCCTTTCCTGGGTCTCAACCTCGAGCTGTTGTGACGGCTAGATAGTTGATTCCCGAGGTATGCTAGCGAAACAGATCGCCGTGTGTGTTCGTCCGCTGTGCTGTCTCTCGAGATTGTGTTGTGTTCCATTTGTCTTAAATCAGTTGCACTTCGCAAATATGACTTGGAAGAAAGCGTCGTTGGTGGTATTAGGCTCAGTCGTGGGGTCGGTGAGCCCCTACCAACACCACCGTCGCGGTGCGTTGTAGAATTGCTAGAATTTAATGGCTGCATAACATGTGCATGAGACATAGGCCGCCTGCGCGGAAAATATTCAGACTCAGGTTGATGACCTGGGGCACCACCTGTCGGTACTTCTGGTTGACTATCTCCATTCAGCGGTGAGGATGCGCGTCTTTTCTGTCCAATACGTAGGCTCCTGATATCAGACGTTTCTTCCATTGGAAAATCTACTTCCTCCAAATCGTTGTAGCCACCACCTGTTGACATAGTGGCGTCGTCACTGTTATTCCGCCTAGCTCTATCGAGTGGTAAACGGTCCATATCTGTCAATTCGACCAGCGAGCGACTCTCCGGCTTCTGTGACCCTTCGCTTACAGGATCGTTACGCGTGGCCAGAGTATTGCGCGCCCGTTTCATTGCGGCGGTGTCATTTGGGTCATCAACGACCATTGGAGGAAGAGCTCTACCCCGCCGTCGAGCATATGCGTCAAAAGGAGATGAGTACCGGGTACGATTAGTAGAAGATGACGAGGAGTTGCCAAATAGAGGAAAGGAGTTAGTCCATTCGAGCCCGAAATCGAGCTCTGCCGGCTTCTCAATCGGCGACTTTATTGACATTGTGGGCTGCAAAGTGGTTGATCTTTCCGGGAAAAGAGGCTCCCAGTTACCAGTGTGAGTAGTGTCGAATTCACCCAAGTTAGGCGAAAACTCGTAGCGCTCAACAGGCGGTGAAGCTGTACGAAGAGATGACGCATCATCCATGGATAATAGGCTGGACAATGTACGCCGGGTTGCTCTCCTCGCTTTACGCTTTTCATTTTCTGTTGTTATATGCTTCTGCTTCGCACGGCGGTTCTGGAACCAGTTCTGATATACCATGTCAGTTTAAATTTCATAACCGCTAGCAAAGGGCTTCCCACGTTTACTCTAGGTCGTTCTATACCAAGGGCAGCTGCTAACTGGGCTTTTGTTGAACTTGAGGGTTTGGGATTCTTCTGGAACTCCTTCTCCAGGATGTCGATTTCTTCTTTGATTGAGAATTTAACCTCCTTGGGAAATATTCTGTTCATTGTTGCGTCTGGTCGCAGGGCTCGTCCCCATTACAGAACGCAAAAGGGTTGAAAGGCTCAGAGGAATACCAAGATTCCTAATACCCCATCTTCCCTTAGAATCTAGTGCGTGATTTACTGCCTCCAAGGCTAATTGGGGTAGTGTGGCGTTATGGCACCTGTGTGGTGCTCTGAGACCGTGGAAAGTGAGGTCTTGTGGGTTGCAGATTGAGTCATTTAGTTGTCTAATAGACAAGAGGCTTGCGCTTTCACTTGTTATAATTTAACAAGCCCCTAGCTGATATTGGTATGTCTTTACTAGTTCGGGGTATCCTTTAGAGCTGCGATGGCGTGGTTCGAAGAGGCCACCAGCGTTTCGGTGAAGAGATTACTTCCGTAGGCCTTTCGTGTTTGCAGAGCTCACTGCGCCTACGAAGCCCCAAACCCCTCACTCCATCTTCACTCCTAATTGGTTTGGCATTTTATGTAGCATGTGGCTGTGTAGGTAGATACTTTGAGGAAGTCACTGGCTTGGCAGAGTCAGCACCATTTACCGCGGACCAGTCCCCTTGCCCATGATAGTCACGTTGACTCATCTTTTCATTCACAGAATGAATATGCCTCTCGTAAATCTTGATATCCTAGTGTCGGAGGTGGAACGGCAAACTGCCATTGCTCTGAATTCACGCCAAGAAAATTTCTCAGGGTCACATCACAGTCCTGAGAAATTGATTGTCATTCAACGCCAGGATCATGATAACTACCTGCACCTCAAAGATTGGTGCCAAAGCGTTGGTATGTTGATTCAACCACTCATTCTCGCGGGTCACCACCGACTAAGGCTGGTTAAACATATATAGGCCTGGCGGGCGAAAAGGAGTGGCAAGATGTTGTTATCCCGGAAAGGTGCCAAAGTTATCTGTGGAAACTCCTCGCGTTCAGTAACTCATCATCGCCCGTTCTCAATCCCATTTATCAACAGTCCCGCTGCCGAGATATCAAAGACATTCGGGCAAGAGATAATAATATCAAGGATATCCAGACGGAAGATATATGGCAGGCTCCGGGCCTTCGAACATGGGCCACGTCCACCGTATCGTCTACTGTCATTATACAAGGGGACTCACAAACTATACGCTGTTTAGAGACATTCAGCTATGAAATATCTCTCCAGCTTGTGGAGATGTATCCCACTCTCTGGATGCTAAGTGAGCCTTCATCTCGCGAATTTTTTGCGACATGTGATGAAACCGAGCTTTTGAGGCAATTGGCCATTCAAGCCTTACATAAAATAACACATTTCGAGGCCAGCTTTTTCATCGAAATGCTTTGTCTCTTTAAAAAGTGCAAAAGCATTCAAGACTGGTTGCGTATTCTCAAGACCATAGTCCAAATACTACCGAAAGCCTACGTTATAATAGACCTTAACGTCCTAGGAGCTCGCAACAGGCATGCGGAAAACTGGCCAGATGACTTTCAAACTATGATCTCACAGCTAATTAGTGGTTTCTCATCGAAGTTATCAATAATGCTATTGTCTAGCAGGTTGCTTTCTAGTAGGAATCGAAATACCTTGGTTGTGTCAGTGACCTCAAAGTCCCGACAGTTGCTACAACTCCCGTCCCGGAAGCGGCCGCCTGAAATGTCCTCAGCTTCAATTCGATGTCTGTCGACTCTTATTTCAACTGATTTAATAGTTGACAGTCAGACAGGATACAGCTCAAAGGCAGTTCTTGGAGCCAAGCGGACATGCCACACCCATGTTTCGGGAACCCCACACAGGTATTATGACAGCTCCAATATTCATTGCCGTAGGAACGCAACTAATCGTATTTTGTCGGCCATAGAAATAATAGCGTATCTGATCTGGATAATCTGGAAAAGTCTGTCAATGGCCGGCGAAGAGATAACGAGAGATCAAAAGAACCTTCAGGTAACATGTGCGGCGTATCAAACCAATATTCCCTGCCACACCGGAACGATATCGCCGTCGCCATAATATGTGCGCTTCCACTAGAAGCCGATCCTGTTTTAGCAGTGTTCGACCATCATTGGGATATCCAGTCCTTTGGTAATCTTCAGATGGACAAGAATGCCTATTCGTTGGGAAGAATCGGTAATCACAACGTCGTACTCGTCCATATGCCCGGAATGGGTAGAGCGGCTGCTGCGACGGTAGCAGCGAGTTGTCGCAGAAGCTTTCCAAATATTAGACTAGCACTCTTAGTAGGAATATGCGGTGCGGTACCCTTTCACAATCGCTCAATTGAAATTCTATTGGGCGACGTGATTATTAGTGACGGATTGGTTGTCTACGACTTCGGCAGGCAGTTCCCAGACAAGTTTGTCCGAAAAGACGGCGCCTACGACAGCGCCAGAGGAGATAAAAACCTTACTATCCAAGATGAAAGTCCTAATGCACCAAAGCAGACTCCATCACAGCACTAAATCTCATCTCGAAACTCTAGTGGAGAGTGGTTTTACAACATACCCCGGGACGAAGGAGGACAGACTCTTTCAAGCAAATTATAGACATCAACATCAAACGCCCTTGGAATGCCCTCAATGTGCTTCCGCCATGTCTTCTAATGGCCCAGTATGCGATACAGCCCGCACTTCAACATGCGACGCTCTCGGCTGTGACCCAACAAGACTCGTGGTCCGTCAGCGGCATATTGAAATTGTGAACGGCATCAAGAATTGGTTCCCTGTAATCCACTTCGGTGCATATGCATCAGGGGATACGGTTATGAAATCTGGCGAGCATCGAGATCAGATAGCTGAAAGAGAGCAAGTAATTGCGTTCGAGATGGAAGGTGCTGGAATTTGGGAAATATTCCCTTGTATTGTTATCAAAGGTGTTTGTGATTATGCGGACAGCCACAAGAACAAGCAGTGGCAAAATTATGCCGCGGCCACGGCTGCTGCCTGTTTGAAGGCCTTTCTTGAGGTTTGGCCAGCTAGCCAACCTGATACCAGCTCTTAGTTCAACGTTTGTGGTTGAAGCAACCATTCCATATTCTGCAAAGAATTATACAATTTTAAATTCAAGGCATTAAGCTGAAAGTAGTGACAGGCAGGTATGCAAGCCATTATGGGTATGATATACGGAATCACCTAGAACCTACGATGTATACTCTTGTGAGGTGTAGTTTATAGCGATGCTGATGCTGCTAAGCCCCCAACTCCTTCTATGGGCTGTGCGCAGAAAGCTCTTTCGTTGGCGCACATGGGTTCTAAGTTGCAGATGATGAAAGATTCATGTGCAAATTATTTTACCCTCACAAGTGAACCTGGGCTTGGTTTCGACTCCTACTCTAGATTCTAGCTCTAAACTACTGCAGCTGAGCCCACCTCCCATCCGCAACTATCCTTTGGCTTACATATGCTCCAAGCTGCGGTTCTACTAATTTCAAATAGGCGGGAAAATATTACTACATCCGCAAAGAATGATAACACCGATTGCAATGAAGTTGTGAGGCGGCCAGGCGTGCTAGAACATGATGAAGAGGAAGAGATGAAGCTTTTGTTATCCGATTTTATTTGGCCTCATAATCGCTTTGTAGACAATTTGTCATTCATTGCCTATATTTTCCTGGATCCTATCTTTTGAAAGAATACAACAATTGGTTGCATGGATTCTTCCTGTCTCGTAATTGAACTCGCCAGTATATAAATGTCTATTGCTGTAGGGGCACAAGTGATAAGATGATGACGCACTGTCGTTTCAGCTGGTCAGCGCAGTCTTGCAGGTCGCGCCCCATTAGATTGGTGCTGATAATACGACGCCTCGTTCGCGCAATACCACGTTAGGTAGGCCTAAAGTGAGGGGCACGGACTTGTCCCGGTGATATTAGAGATTGCGATCTTGACACTCGGATTATATTCTCCAAAACTAAGCCCAACGGCAAATCTTGCCCATGATAACATACAACCGTCGCTAGCAAGACGTGCAAAATGGTTCCTCCCAGCAAACGCCGAAGGTCAGCGAGCGAGAGTGGTTCAGACAGTGAAGGGGAGACTGGTAAGTCTCTTGAGCGATACTAGATGGAATCAAACTAGCTTCCCTAACAACGAAGAGACTCAAGGCCACTTCATAATCAATTACGAATTAGGCACCGACCAACTCTGACTATCGACTGGCGTGAAGAGATTTGCCGATTCCTGAACGGCTCCGGCGAATTAACCGAATTAACCGACGATGCGATCCTCGACGAGCTTGACAAAGTATCCACGGAGTTAACCGAGCTGAGACGACTTAGTACCCTGCCTATTGCGCAATCCAAGCCTCTAGATTATCAAATTATCAATCGCGTTAGGTGCAGTCAGTCAGTTGACGACGAATTATACTTGGACGTACCCTGGGTTGTTAACAGTGGTCCATACCAAGCGCACCTGCGAGGCAGTAATAAAATCTACAACTTCGAATTGCACCTTGAACGGAATAAGGAGATAGCCTTTCTGGTTGTCCGTGAGTTTGAGTGTTGCGGTCAAAGGTCGCACCCCGGTGTCGACTTACAAGCAAAAGACTTCCTCGTAAAGGAGTATGTCTCTAGCATCTCTACAGAGTTCCGTCAGGCTCTTGTAGAGCTTTGTAACTTGGCACTGCAAGGAATCGCTCATCCAAACTTTGAGGATGGTGAAGTTAACCAGATCTACTATCCATACCTTTGGTGGTTCCATGGTCGTTTAGATATAGAAGAAGCAAGAGTGCAGATCAGCCCCAAATCACTTGTGTATCTTGGAATTTTCCAAAACTACCTTGATACGTGCTTGGGTGACGAATGGAAGACTGTTGATGTTCTACTCTCAACAGGGTACATCACGGCCGAGTATGTCCGTTACTTATTTGTAGGTACCACAAGCCTTTTGACCCTCGTCGTACTTCAAGTCACTGCTACCCTTAGCTTACCTATAATAGGTCCCACAAGATATATGCATCTTGAATTCTCATGGCAAGGCTGCAGTAGCACTAGAGGCTTTTACGGCTACAGATTGGTTAGATCAGCCCAGAGGTTCTATTTCAGGAACGAAGTGGGATTTTGATGGAAACTTCGAGCGAAAGAATAAACATTTTTTCCTCGGCCAGCTTCCTTCATTAACAACAAAATTTCCAATCCGAAATTTATCAGTTTACCCTGCACGTTTTGCAGACAAAGACAGTATAGATGGAATTCGGCGCCGAGGGAAAATGTTCTGGAAGTGCCGGCGTCGAAATTATGTGTGTTACAAAGACACAGAATTGAAGAGTGCGCCTAGCATGGTACATGACCATCTCAAGTGCCTTATTTGGGTGATAAGTTTTGCTAACTAGCTAGCAGTCCGATCCACGCTTCATGGTAGACACTGCAACTTTTAAACAGATGCACCCGTCAGGCGATAGGGAAGGACATGTGACTTGTAATGACGACCTTGGGCCGGATATCATGTTACAGGATGAACCAGCTCTCTCTGACACGTTTTTCATGTGTCTCCCTACAACACTTTCCGGGTTCAATATGCAAAAGAAAGAATGGGGTAAGGACTCTAGAGTGGTTCTCCATGTCGATTGATTGACATGTGTGCTGATCATATTAGTTACCCTCCAGGTGGGCTATATTGAAGACGTGACATGGAACGAAGAGGCGTTCCAGCTACTAGTCATCGATGAAAGCACGAAGGAACTCATTCAAGCTGTAGTCACAAACCGGCTGCAAGCCGAAGACCACGCCGACATGATCCATGGAAAAGGAAACGGATTATTCATACTATTACATGGGTAGGCCCTAACCAATGACGCCTATTCGAACGTTTGATACTGATAGAAAAATCACATAGTGGCCCAGGGACTGGCAAAACTTTGACAGCCGAAAGGTACCTGTCGCAAGTATTAAAGCATAACGAAGAAATGCTGACATGCTCCAGTGTGGCTGAAATTGCCCGAAAGCCGTTATACAAGGTCACATGCGGTGATATCGGCACAAAGGCAGAAGAAGTTGAAAAATATCTCGAGGTCGTCCTCCTTCTTGGGCAAACATGGGGCTGTGTTGTGCTCCTGGATGAAGCGGATGTATTTCTCGAGCAACGATCGTTTTCCAATTTGGACCGCAATGCCCTCGTCTCAGGTATGAGCTTTGCATCGCATATTGAGTCCTCCTATGCTAACCACACGTCTTACAGTTTTTCTTCGCGTTCTAGAGTATTACGATGGCATTCTCATTCTGACAAGCAACAGAGTGGGAACTTTTGACGAGGCCTTCCGGTCCCGAATCCAACTAACATTGCGGTATGAAAACCTAAGCCAAACCCAACGGCACAAAATCTGGGAGAACTTTGTGCGACGCCTAGAGACGCTGGAGAGTTCGAGAACGGCAGGGGCAACCTCTTCGCTATCGCCGTCAATACGAACTTTCTCAGGCTGCGGCTTCGACTTTCAGGATATCAGGGCGCATATTCCCGAGATGGCCGAGCGCAACCTCAACGGGCGAGAGATCCGCAACGCGATCTCGACGGCGAGACAACTCGCCATGTACAAGAGAGAACCGATGAGTTATAAGCACCTGGAACGTGTCATCAAAGAAACAAGTAAATTCGAAGCATACATCACCGAATTGAACCGGGGGTTTTCGTCTGATGAGATTTCGAAAGACAAAGGAGAACGTCTATGACTTCCTAAGTTACTGTTTAATTGAGACTAGTTCACAGACGTGTTGTCTACCTGACATATTATCAGTCCGTTACCTTGATTTATTTTACACAGTCTGTTAGCCGTGCAATAAAGACGCCTTCAGAACATGCTACGCGCGCTGAACGCGCCGAAGGTGGCGCTAATTTACTTTCAAAATTATCCGTCATCTCCGTGAGAAATGACATGTGCAATAGACTTTACTGTCTGTAAAACCCCGTTATAAACGACTATCTACACGATTGCGCCGCGCGATAACGTTCTTGAGCTCAGTTTTCGGTTGGATATATGGTTTTGGTAGATGATTCAATGACCAAAGTTGTTCGAACGCATATGCGAGCCGGATCAATTTTGTTTCAGAGTAGTGCTCAGCGGTGAACAGTAATCCGAATCTAGAAGGCTATAAGCTGAAGTATTTTCCTCAGGGTCAGGATGACTTACGGGACATTTGGTGCTACCTCCACTTGATGACCAACTTCGGTCTCTTGCGACTGCGTTCCCTCTGGGTAAAATCCCAGCGGCAAGGCGAAGACAGGCATTCCGGCTCGAGCAGCAAAGGTCGACGGGAGATTATACTCATTTGGGAATACCAATGCGTCGACGTTGTAGTCCTCTAAAGCGCCTAAGATTCCATCCTTTCCAGAGCACCTGAGCATCTTCTCAAGAGCGGCTTGAGTGACTTCGGCATCAATGCCAGGGGAATCTCTAGATGAAATCAATCGCCCGACATCTCTTTCCGAGGATAGCTCCCGCGGCTCACTTTCAATGAATTGTATAATGTCGGCAACATTTGTGATGTTGTGAGGGTTCTTTACCAACGCTCCACACCATCTCTCAATGGACGCCTTGAACTCGGCTTCGAGAGGACGTTTCCTCTCTGACAGATCCCAATCCATCCATTCATGCTCAGAACGAAACTTGACATTGTCCACAACACTTGCCCCTGCGTTTCTAAGACACTGGAGAGCTCGTTCAAAAGTCTCTAAAACATATGGGTCTTTTGAGGCAATCGAACTCCTTGGCACACCCAGACGGATGCCTGTCAGATTTGTGTCTCGGCAATAAGCCAAATAGTCTGGGACTTGAGCAAACGGAAAGGACGACGTGACATTATCGTAATCACTTGGACCGGCTATTACGGAGAGAATGTAGACTGCATCCTTCACAGTTCGAGCTATGGGACCGACGGTATCCTGCCTGTCTGATAAGGGAATGACACCATCGCGAGGTACCAGGCCAGTCGTGGTACGAAATCCAACGACGCTATTCTTCTTGGAGGGACCGACAATACTGCCATCCGTCTATGGACATTAGCAGTCATATTGAGGCGCCGAGGCAGAAGAGGGGTATACCTCGGTGCCCAGTGATACGGCTGCAAGACCAAGAATCGTCGAGACAGCGGAGCCGCTGCTGCTTCCCTCTGGCGCTTGTAACGGAACGAAAGGAGCATATGTCTGGCCACCTCTGGCGCTCCAACCATCGGTAGCTTGTTTGGACCTAAAGTTAGACCATTCGGAGAGATTTGTCTTTCCTAGTAGTATAGCCCCAGCAGACCGCAGCCGCTCGACCACAGTTCCCTCTCTGACTACTTTGGATCCCAATAGAGCGTATGATCCAGCTGAGGTATTCATGCGATCGAGAGTAAAGATGTTGTCTTTGAGGAGGATGGGAACGCCGTGTAGAGGTCTACAGAAGACGTGAGAACTACATCATATAGAGAGACCAGGGAACAGACCCACGTCTACCCTGGCATCTACGCTCATTATCAAGGTCGTGGGCGATGGTGATAGCATCGGGGTTTATCTCTAACACGGCATTGACATCGCGATTGACTTCGTTGATACGCGCTATGTAAGCTTGTACTAAGTCGACCGAGGTGAACCGGTTCTCATCCAGGCCGTTAGCAATATCATCAAGGGTAATAGTAGCTAGTAAGGGTGGGGCGCTATTTTCAACACTACGGCTTCGGGACGCGTAGCGCCAAATGCGTTCCATCATCGAGCTTATGGAACACATGGGGTACAGATGGTTAGTTAATTCGGCGAGGAATGAGATGATGACGACGAGATTCGTGCAAGAGCTTCACGGAGGAAATGGCAGCACCGTTTATCGAGTTTCCCTGTTAATTTCTGCGCTATGCTTACCCAAGCACAGAATCGTTTATTGCATATTAGGTGTTTGCTAGAAAACGCCAATCAACTCGAGTTCCTTGAACGTCAAACTTCCTCTGACTTGTGGTTGAGCAGCATATCCTTTGCGCCAAAACCTTGAGACCCTTGACCAATAGCAACTCCATCTCCATGCGCTGGTCGCCAAGGGAAAATGGGGACTTTGATTTACCGTACGGTAGAGGCGGGAGCGAGGGAAACCCCTAAAAATGCCAAGAAATGCAGCTGTCCAGAGACGACATAACATTAAGAACTGAAGAGCAGCCAACAGGACTAAAAGTAACAAATGAGACATGCATCCGACCCCTAGCGACTTGCGCACGACTCCGTAGCGGTCCCGATAGCCTCCCGATAGCCTCACGCAGGGGAAGGAAGTATGAAGCCGAGTTCCTCTAACAGGGGCATAAGATTGATCATACAGCCCAGTGTGCTTCAGGCCTCATCTTTTGCACCTTGGTGGCCTCGGACATAACTTATCTGTATACCTCGGACTGCCAGCAAAATATTCTAGGGGTCGTTACCCCAGTTCTATTTTTCAGGTACTAAGAACGATATGGTCATCTCAGAGGCGTTATAGTAGCTCTCGCATTCCCGCTTATAGCATTCAGGATCCCGATATCAAAATTCAGAGCGATCACAGCATTGTCGAACACCAGACATCACGCGGGTAACCCGTTGCTCAACGGCTGTCTGATCGAGGTTCGCGTCTCACTAACTACGGTATGTCCCTAGGTAGGTATACAAGGGAACTCTATTTCGTGGCCCCAGGTGGTCTAGCCTGTTTCCGTCCAGCTTTGAGATCGGGCTCGTTGTTCCGGCGGCGTGGCACCTAGTGTTCAGAGGTTGGCGAGTAGAAAATAGTGAGAACGCGTTCCCTACTGAACCTCAGATATACTTATCTGTCTGAGTGGTGTATTTCGTATCACATATCTCCATCTCTGTACAAGACTTATGCCTCTCCCCAGACTGTCACACCTGTGTTCGTGAACCCCGGCTTGTCGAACGTCGCTAGCAGTTCAGTGTCCAACAATGTCCGACTGACAGTCTCGCTGAGAATTATGCTTTGAATAGCGTCTGAATAGTCTTGCCCGTGAATCGTAGTCGGATTAAACACCGACAGCCGCAATGGTTTCGGACAGGGGCTTGTTGGCAAGAATTATGGCCCGCTGATGTCATTACGTGAGCTTCGAGAACACGTACAAGTCGAGGCGGTGAAAGAAAAAGGGGAGGGACTCTGCACTGAACACATAGGTATTTAGCCTCTCACCTTTTCCTTGCACCACCTCGCAAGTGTTACTTGTTCTGTGTGCGGATGGTGATACCCGAAGTGATTGGGCATATGATGCTACTTGTCCTCCGCGCGCTCGACATACACACTCTGATTACTCTGAATAGACCGGGCAGCAAACGAGATCATCCGATATGGCGCGCGCAATTGATGCCCTTCCCACTCCAGCTCACGTGAAGCCGAAGAAGTTGATCGTCCTGAGTGCGCCTCGGTCAGTAGCTTGCGTCAATGCGATTCCCGCGCGTGTATAAATCGTGCTCTGACAATGCGCGCAGAACTGGTACCCACGGTCTTTATGAAGCGCTCAAGAAGCTGGGCCATCGGCCCTATCACATGGTAGAGGTATTTCAAAGGCCATCCCGTCTTGATCGCATCTGTCTAATATCTCCTCTGCCCAGGTGGTCGGCGGTGGCGTCCCCGCGATTCGGACCGTGATAGAGGCTATGAAAGCCGAATATTTTCACGAAGGAACACCATGTGGGTAGCTCGGTTATCTGCTGGGTGTTTGCCAAAGCAGCTCAGATAAAAAAGCATTTAAACTAACTTCTATATGCAGATGGCAGGGAAGAGTTCGACAAGTGGTTCGCAGACTACGATGTAAGAATCCTACGTGAAAAGTAGAGGTTCGGTCTGTGCGATATTGACCTTTCTCAAGATCATAATAGAAATGCCATTCTTCATGCTCCGGTCGATCCTGAAGGCATATCCCGATGCCACATTCATGCTGATAGAGCGAGACCCTGAAAAATGGGCCAAGTCCTTCTTCAATTCGATCGGTGTCGCTTCTACGCGCCTGAATCAGTTGCCCATGTCCGTATTCAAATACTTCGACAGCTTTATATACAATATGGACACCTACTCAGCGCGAATGGTGAGTTACTGGACAAATGGCTTCGGGGTATCCGATAAGGGCCGCGAATCTCTGATCGAGAATTACAGTGCTTAGTAGGTTACGACCTAGAGTTTATTTAACCCATTTTATAGGCTGACAGTGAGACAGTATTGCCGAAGTAAAACGGCTTGTGCCTCCGGCGCAGCTTAAAGTGTTCAGCTTGGAAGATGGTTTCGGAGTGAGTAATCCTCAATCTCGTCCTATTCAGTTTGATGGCAGACATTACTTTTCTAAGTTGGATTATATGAATATGAGCCAGTTATACTTGAGCCCGACGTCATTCCGGATAAACGTGGATGCTAACCTTGACACAATAGTGGAATGACTTGTGCCCGTATTTGGGTGAACCTATCCCAGATACGCCCTGGCCATCGCTAAATACGCCAGATGAGTTTTTTTCCTTAGCCAAACCCATGTTTCAAAAGGCCGTGACCAAGGGCATGGTAGGAGTAACAACTGTAATAGCTATTGCAGCAGTTGGTATGGGTATGGCATGGAAAATTTACATGTCTTCCCTGACCTAGTTCGACGCAGCAGATTTTGCAACACATTGCCATGTTTGGCCACTTCAAGCACCAGTTGTGAGCTTGCGTGGAATAACAGAGTGAAAATTGAATTGCGTGAACGGCAGGGGGTGCTAGGGGTTAACGAAAGTATGACGGATCCTACTAGGGGGGATAACAGCCAGACTAGATTTGCCCCGCAGAGAAACATTCGTGATGCACTACCTACAAAACGTTAGACTGTACGACCACGGAGCTAGGACACTGGTATGTACCTGGGAGGCAGAAGCCCTCGAGTTGCTGCTGTATTTTACAAGAGATATTACAATATCTCGAAACCCAGGGTCTACACCCGGTAATAGATCCTCCCATTTTCGTCCCTCAAATGTTCGATACATGTCGAAGGGCGGTGTCTTGAAACTGGCAGCCTCCGCCCATGTCTCACGAGTCGGGCTGCCAATCGTCTTGAAGATACTCAATATTAAACCCAGCTGGTTGCCGTCTTCATGCGCCGGTCGCGATTCGAAGAGCGGTTTGGAAGGTGTTCGACAGCATTCCGCAAGCATAGCACCGGCTGCCCACATATCGACGCCTGTATCATATGCCCTATTTCCAAACAGTGCTTCCGGTGAACGATATGACCCCGTGCCGATGTCAAGAACTTTCTGATCCGCAGGTTCTGTGTATACTGATAATTCGGGGTGCCATGCCGTGCCAAAATCGGAAAGGTAGGCAGGCCCGTCGGGCGACTCGAGTAGGACTGCAGAGGGCTTCACGTCCCTGTGTATTATACCCTGGTCGTGCAAATATTGAAGAGCTGTAAAAATATCGCGAAAGTGGCTTATTATGCGTTCCCTAGAGATCGGACCACGTGCGATAAGGCTGTCAAGGCTTACTGGCATATACGGGAAGACAAGAACAAAGCGCTGTTCCTGATCTCGGAAGGTATCTAGCAATGGGATGCATGGTTTCTTGAGTAGTTTGAGAATTTTAGCCTCTCGAAACGGGTCATGCGGCTCAATGTTCCGAGTCTGCACAATCACTTTCAAGGCTACCGTTTTCGACTTGTACACCTCGGCAGTCACTCCATCATCGATATGTTGACAGTCTTGGTAGGACCCTATCCTGATACCCGGAGTTTCTGTTGTTTCTGTTGTGGGCTGGGGTTCATCCGCTCCCTCTTGTGAGTTTGCATAGCCTAGTTGCGGCCCAACTCGGCAGGCAGAATCATACTCATTCTATGTCTCAGTTAGCGTGAATCGATCTGAATAGACTTTCTCTTCTTAGAGCACTTAGAGCAATGGTGTGTAGCCTTACTTGTGATGTAGATGTCTTATATGCCTCGTTCTCAATAGAGAAGGCATTCTTTTGTGCGTCGGCAGCCGGGACGCCTATCTCACAAAGCGCATCTTTTCTGACGTGGACTATGAGCAAGGCAACACAACGGACGTTGAGAAAGTTGTGAAGGCTGACATGGCTTGTATGGTATCGTAGCGGTTGGCTGATGTAAGCGACGCCTTCCAGTCGGATTGGGAGGTCATGTTTCTACAACTGAGTTTGGTTTCTTGGTAGTCGGTGAAGACAATCCTTGTTGGAGATATGGAACACGCCAGCCTATACCTATATTCTCACTTCCATATTGACCATAAGGAAGTAGTATCCAATGGTCTAGGTATACGTAATTGAGATCATGCGAGTTGTATGCGAACGAGGGAGGGGTCTTCCTGGGACCTCGGGAGCTTGGTGGTGCACCGTTGAAACACTACTCGCGTCCATGCAATATGCTATTCGCTGATTGATGGATAGATGCATTTTGCCGGGCTGGTGGGAGATCTGCAATGAGCTGGCGACGGCTGTCCTTCCCCACATTTCCCTAGTCCCCGCCGGCACCTAAGCTACAGCGAGCTACAGCAGACTAGGTACAGCGGACTACAGCGGACCACAGCAGACCACAGCAGACCACAGCAAGCAAGTGCCCGAGTTCCACGGCAGAGACGCGGCCTCACAGCGATGCTAGGCTTCAATAGGCAAGTTCACCAACCGAGCTACGCCTTCTGCGCCCGCTAACGCCTCTTAGCCCGTGACAGCTGCCCCCGTGAACTTGCCCGTGGTTGGCTGGGCATTCGGACTTGACCTCATACCTCATCCACGAGCCTCTCACAATTCCCCAAAGCCCGAATCTATCCACCATCCACCACAAGTGGTTATCGTCTATGCCCATGATCCCAGCCATCGAGCTTCCACTGACAGCACACAGCTCCCGGCCGTTTCGTCTTGTGCTACCAACGACACCGACACCGACACCGATCTCATGTATTCCTAATCCCTAGTAGACAGATGAATCTGTACAGACATATCGCATCCCCCGCGTAACTCCATGTTCGACCGGTTTCCATTGCTTCGTTGAATGCGCTCATCAATCTCGCCTTGCGCTCCATTTATATAATCTATTTATGTCTATGCTTGACCCATTCTCCCCATTCGCGACGCCCACCCCTACGTGATCGCAGCCAATTCTTTTCGCCATGGATGACCTTTCGAGGGCCGAGTATCCCGCCTTGCTGGTATGCTCTGCCACCCGCTGTAGCATGGTTGGCGCATCACTAACCTGACCTTTCCGTAGGATTCTTTACAGCCCGGCCAAGCCGTCACTATCCTCACCGACCGGGTCAAGCGCATAACCAAGGTCAACAATGAAATCGCAGACTGGTTACAGGTGCGAGCCGATCCCTTCTCCATTGCCCGACAATGCGAATAGTCGAAGCTGATATGCGTTTAGGAACGTCGGAGAGTCGAGGAGCAATATGCTCAAGGGTTGCGGAGATTGGCCCAATTCCGCGTTCCCAATGCGCAATCAGAGCTTGGGTAAGTTGACCGCATTAATGAAGTGTATAACTTGAAATATGCACATCTTGTACTGATGATATCAAAGGAGTTTCCAAGTTCAATGGGACAAGATCCTTCAATCGGTAGAGATCATTGCTACATCCCATCACACCCTCGCTGCACACATCGAAAAGGAAGTCGAGACCCCACTCCGCATGTTCGAAGTCAAGAAAGAAATGCAAAATATCCAAACAATACAAGGAAACTTACAAAAAGTGGCTAGGGAGCTGGAAGAGGCTCAAGAAAAGTCGGACAAACTGACCAAAAAGGGTGGTAAAGCCAGTGCTCAAAAGGTTGACTTGGCTGCGAGCAAGCTCGAGTCTGCCACCAACCAATGGAAATCACAGGCCCCCTTTGTCTTCGAAAGTCTCCAGGCCGTAGACGAGAGTCGTATGAACCAATTGCGCGACTGTTTGACCCAGTATGGCACTCTCGAGGGAGAGCAAGCACAGAGGCTGCAGAGCGATGCCGAAAGCGTGTTGAACAGCCTTCTTGACTATAGTACCGCAAATGAGATCCAGCAGTTTGTTTCAAAGGTGACCGCAGGGCGGCCTAAGTTAGAGAAACGAACAACAACAGCACGGCAATCAACCAGCGCAGGTGGTGCAAGTACGCCCGGCGGTACTGTACCTGGTCTCAATGCGCCAACGGAAGATGATCGCAGCGATTATTCAGGACCTAAGGAAGGTCCGCCTGAGAATAGGTTACGCAGTCGAATTGGTACTATGCTTGGACGGCGGCGTCAGAGCATTCACGGCGGATTTGGTCAACTTGCCCCTGGGAAAAGTCCATTTGGGCGAAATACTAAGAGCAGTCATGGCCTTTCACCTAGAGCTTCTTCAAGTAACCTGGGTGACTCACCCAGCCGACTTGGCGCATTAGCAGAAGACCCTGATTCCACCACAAGTGAGCCTTTCCGCACTTCCGAAGCATCTAGAGAGAAAATTAGCCATGATGGCCCCAATGGAGTCGGAAGGGTGAACTCGACCGACGTAGTGCGACCAACAACGGGTACGACCACTACATCCCAAGTTAACGGAACTGGGTCTGCGCTGGACGCATTAGATGTACCGCCTCCCCCAGGGCCCCCGCCGTCTCATAAAGAGCCAGAGAAAGATGCGGAAGGGTTTAGTGTACCGACGTATTCGCATGATCCTATATCACAGGCTGAAAAAGAAGCGGCTGCCCAAGAATCCGAACATGCATTCAAGCTGAGTATTCAAAAGGAGCCTGTCGCTGAAGAGGATGAAGACGCCAAGAAAGCAGCTCTGTCGAACGTGGCGAACAGCCTATCGGCAATGGGGGCACCAGCACGGAGGGTTGGCACTGTCCGAGGACGTCGGGATGTGCGTAATACTATCTATGTACCTGGCCCGGTTTCCGAGGACTCTGCAACCTCTGCTATAACACCTCCTATCCCAACGATGTTCTCCAGACCTACAGGTCTATCGACCTTGGCCTCCGAAGCCAGCGTCGCCGGAACGTCCGACACACAGTCTATTCGATCATCCAACTCTTTGAGCAGTGTTGTTCAAGCCAAACACCCCGAAATGCATCGGCCTGGGCTGAACTCATCTTTGATAGAAACTGTGTCAGCCACTTTTGAGGCTGGTGCGGTTAAATCTGTGAAGGTCAATGGCGAGATCGCCTTGGCTTTCAATCCCGGTGATGACCCAAATCCGCCGTGTAAGTATCACCAAAGTTCATCTAGCAAAAGATGTATACGCTGACCGCTTCACAGCACACCTATCCGTTCGAATTAACAATTTCTCTCTTCTTGAGTCCATCGGGCCTAATCGGATTTTTGTATCTAATAGCCCCGACCATCCTGATCAGTTCACGATGGACGCCTCCCACATCCGAAATACCCATATTGGTTTCTCATATAAGCTACATTCCGATATTAATGCACCATCAAAAGAACATGTTCCCATCCTCATCCACCCTACCTGGAAGCCTCAAGGCGACAAGCTTGGCCTGTTGTTACAATACAAGTTAAACCCTTCGTTCAATTTTGCAGCGAACAACTCTCCTATACAACTCCATAACCTCGTCATTTTCGCCACCTACGAAGGTAAAGCCTCTGGTGTTCAGACCAAGCCTTCTGGGACCCATCTGAAGGACAAGCATTTGGTATACTGGCGTCTTGGTGATGTCACGCTGTCCTCAAACGGAGATTGGCAGAAAATCGTATGCCGAGTCGTGGGAGAGCAGGGTGCCGAGCCCAAGCCAGGTAATATCGAGGCTCGATGGGAGTTTAGCCCTCCCGCAGACGCCGAGGTGAGCCAGGCGATATCGCTTTCCAAACTAGAAGAAGGCAAGGGCAAAGAAATCGAGATCACCGACGACGACCCTTTCGCTGATGCGATATCATCGACCGCAGAAGGGAAATGGGTCGATGTCCCCGCGGTGCGAAGGATTTTGAGCGGTAGATATGAAGCGAGACCTACTCCCTAACTAAGATCTGCATAGAGATAAGACGAGAAGAAGTAGGACTTGTATGTAAGGCAGAGTGTATGCGATATCCTGTTTTCATTTTATTTTACTTATTTTATTATTTTCAAAGCATTTTTGGGAAGAAAATCCGGTCCATTTCAATTTGTTATTTTTGATTTGATTATGACGCGCTCGTTGTCGGCTTTCGCGCATGGCCGATTCCTTACATAAATAAGCCCGAGGGGGCAGTCTTATTGTCTTGTCTGTTCATCTTTTTTTTTCCCCTGAAATTTGTGCTGCAAAGTTGAATTTGAAAAAAGTCATCCATCAATCAATCAATCGTACATAGCCTTGATAATCTGATTATATTTTATATACTTAAATAATTAGTAATGGCTGACTTGATCCTATTCTGCTTGGATGATGATTGGGATAGCAAGAGAAGGGCAAATGATGCATATCATTTATATCACAATTAAAGGTGGATTCTAGCATTCTTGAGATTTTCGACTTGCTTAATTAGACCAATTGAGCAGGTATGTAGGTATGTAGGTATCATTCATTAAGTATGTATGTAGTACAGCGCTTGTATTGTTGCCCCTTTATCAAGATATCAAGACGACCTGAAAGAACAGCACCTAACCCCGCTGTTATCTAAAACGCCAAATTCGCAAGCGATCAAGCAATCCAGATAGACACAGTCCAAACCAAAGACGAACAAATCCATGCGCGGAATAAATAAATCATTCATCCACATCTCATCCCATCTCATCTCATCCATCAGTCCGCGCCCTCGAATGCTCCTCGTAAAACTCCAGCGTAAGCGCGGCCAAAAAGCCCGGAATACACCCTTTCTCGCGGACCCAGAAGCGGATCTGATCATCGATGCGTCGCGCAAAGGGACTCTGGGGCCCGCCGCTGACTTTCATGGTTCCGCGCTCGCCGTCGAAGACGATGCTATTCTCGTGCTCGTCGGTGGCCGAGGGGTAATACAGGGATTCGACGCGCATCTTCCCGTTCGGGATGAAGGTCACTGTCCAGCCTAGCGTGCTGAAGATGGCCTCTTTGAATTCCTGCGATTTGGCGGCCCAGACTTCCTTGAGACGGCGCGTGGTTTTCTGCGCCGAGGCGGTTTCGCGCTGTGCTTCTTCGATCTCGCGCTTAGCTGCGGCGAGTTGGGATGCTGGGATTAATGCTGTTTTGGGGTTGCGACGGGCTTCTTTGGAGAGTTGAGCTAGGAGTTCTTGGTTCTCGAGTTTGAGGGCTGCGAGCGTGGCGGTTTTGATGGCTTCGAAGTCTGAGGTTGGGTTGGATCGGAGGGAGAGGACGCGTGTCTTGTTGGCTGATTCTGCGGCTTTGAGACGCGAGTTGAGAACTTCGTGTTCTTTTTGTAGGAGCTGGTGCGCTGTTTGGAGTTTGGAGAGGTCGTCTGCGAGTTTGCGGCGTTTACGGTTGAGTTCGCCTAATTGCTCGTTCTCGGACTCGTCTATGCGACTGCGCTTCGACCCAGTAGCAGGTTCTGCCGCGCCATTCAATGACTCGGCTGCGGATAACTCTTTATGTAGGCTCAGGACTTCTTCCTTGTATGTATCAACAAGTTTCTCGAGCTCAGAGATGCGGTCGACCTTTTGCTGGTCGAAGTTACCAGTATCAAATGTCTCGTCTTCGGCGTCAAACGTTTTGAGCTGAGCCCGTAGGTACTCGATTTCCTTCGTAGCTAATGCCCGTTGCCTTTCTAATCGAGCGTGGGATTTACTTGCAGTGGTAGGACCAGCATTTGTTTTTGATTTCTCAAGTTGTGATATCAAGTTCTTCTTTTCTGATTCTAACGACTTGATTATCTCATCTCTCTCGGCGATTTGAGGTTGTATTTCGCCCAGCTTCTCTACAAGGGCAGCCGAGTTGTAGCGTTCTTCGACCAAGGCACGGGCGACAGCTTCAGGGGAATCGAATTCCATAGATCCATCCTCTGTGCTGGCGCTTTGTAGGAACGCTGTCCATGCTAATTGTTCGTTCTCTAGTCGTTGCTTCTGGATGCGGACTTCATTGAGCTCAGCCTCCAACACCTGTGAAGCATCTACTTTTCGTTGTAAGGATCGCTTTTCTTCTTCGACAATTTCAACAGCCTTATGGGCCTGACGAAGACGCCCAAGCTCGGCGTGCTGCTTGGACGTCTTGGCTTCTAAGGTGCGTATGTGCTGAACCTGGTCGCTTAGTTCACGCCGGATTATCGCAATAGTTTCGGCGTCGCCTGTTTGAGCCTTTAATCGTATTATTTCCGCCTCTAGGTTGCCCACTAGTCTGTCTTTTTCGGCCGAGTTCTCTTGTGCAGTGGTTAGTAATGAGTCGCGCGTTTGGGCATCATGCTCGAGCTCTTGGATAGTTTGCCGTAAATCCGACAACTTGGTTTCCATTTCATTAGTTTGTCTCTGATTCATCCGCTCCCCTTCCTCTTTGGCAACAGATAGATCCTCCAATTGTTCTTTTAATACGCGTGCTTCGAGTTGAGCTTCGCGCAATCTTCTGTCAAGTTCGGCAGTATCTTGGGCTGATGATTCTTTCATGGTCTGGAGCTCCTCCTGCATCGACTCGTATTGGCGTTGCGCTCGGCTTTTCTCGCCCTCGGCGACCTGTTTCTGTTTGAAGTCATCTTCAGCTTTGCGCTGGACCTCGCGGAGCTCGTTTTCGTGCTGGAGCACCAGCATCTCCTTCTCCTGTTCCGCAGTCTCGATCCGGTATCGCATGGTGGCGATCTCGGCCTTCAACTCCTCCATGCGTTTGCGCTGGGTCTCGTATTCTTCGGCATCGGGCGGCGCGAGATTTTCTTTAGAACTCTCGCGCGACGAGGCCCTCACCGACTCGTGGGGCTCGTGGCTTTGTCGCGAAGGCGGCCGGGCCTGGTGGGTAGATGATCCATGTTCAGCACCGGTGAGGAAATCGTAGCTTGGTAGGGTGTTGTGTGAGGCGCGAAACGACGCGATCTAGATGATGTTCAGAATACCGTGTCAGAATGATGGCCGTGTCTAACAGAGTGTTTGGGGATATTTATTTACTCACTCGCGATGTTCTCAGCGAGGTTGGTGGCAGCGTGCTGCTTCCGCCGCTTTTCCGCAGGCGGCCCGACATTTCTTCATCAAGCCTCTATTTTGACATGTACCGTTGGCGCAACGAGAAGCAATAGGGAGGTTACCACAAAGACGCCGAGCAGACCCCGAGCTTCATCTTTTCTCGGTCCTGTGCAATAAGGGATTTGTTTTGGTTGTTTGCAGCGACGGGCCTGTCTGAGTTTACTGGGGGCTTTCACCGTTGTTCATCTACTAGCTGTCTCCGTCTAGCGTCTAGCCTAAACGGGTATCTTATTCCCCCCTGGGCACTTGATTGGCCCAGCAAGCGTTGCCCAGTACTAGGTACATCACAATTTGCATTTTGTATGCATGGTGCTTTATAGGTAATGAAGTCACAGCATGCGCGTGTATAAAAATACTATGCAAATAGTTTAAGCAAGAAATCAACCAACAACTCAATTCCTCATCAAGAGTTGTTGATCTTCCAGTGTCTGGCTCATCATACCACACAACACGGCTCGGAAAGTACCTCTGGAAGTACCTAACCGTTACCTGCTCCTTCTTTTTATTTCATTGCGTCACTGCCGAGAAAAGACTCAGGTACCTTAACCAATGGGAAGCTGTCGCTGGCAAAGAAGCATCTTTAGTTCCATTTCCCGATATAGTTAGCGTCATTATCCGCCAGGACAGTTGGGGCAGTTCTGGGCCAACGCTAGTTGGGTGGTAAGCTCTGCTTTTTGATGCCGGCGATGAAGCTGACCCAACCAACTATCCCTGCACTCATCTCATTCTTCATTGATGGCCAGCTTTCTGAGTCGCCATCTGTCTGTCCTACCGGGCTCCCAGTCTGTAACCTCCGTCGAAAACTCCGAGCCGCAAGCGTCGCTTTGAGCCATCTCTCCCACGATCCCGCCATCCCGCGATTCCGTATTCCCGTTCTCGCCTTCGCCTCAGAAGCACACCTCAAAATCGCATCCCTGTTCTTACTCTCGGGCCACGACATCCCTATGGCTTTGCGACCGAGGTAACAGCATCGCGGCATCTGCTGTGTCTTTCTTTCACATCCACCTTTGCCAATCGCAACCCATTTCCCATCCTTTCGCCTGCCACAGGCTGCGAAACTTCTAGATATGACCCTCCGCCCGATTTCTATGAACTTGACTGGCATTGGCGTTGTGGGGGCCCGTGGTGTATCGGCATACGTCACTGTCACCAGACAGCCGCGATACACTAGATTGTACTATGTCAACTCATGTCTTTCCCAAATTTCAACGCCTAGGTTGGACAGAACAGGACGGTATCCTGCTTCCTCGGTTTTCATTCGATCGTTCGCCTCAGGGCCGCCGCAAGATTCACCCAAAAATGGGGCCGGTGCTGCCCACCGAAAGGAATCTGAATCCGACTCCGCCTCGGCTGCGGCCCAATCTCCAGACGAGCCTCATTCGCAATCGCCGAATCACTCCTCTACCTCCTCAACAGTTACAAACCCCTCTGAATATGATTGGGAAGAAAAGCCAAACTTCAACATCGAGAAGTTCACACAGCTGCCCTATGAGAATTTCGGGGTCAACCAACATATGATTATTGATCGCGAGTTCAAGGAGGCTCTTCGTCAACTGCTATGGAAATTTCGTGCTCCAATCCGCTACGCATTCGCATATGGCTCCGGTGTTTTCCCACAATCATCGGGTGGAGCTGCTACAGAGGCTGAGGTCAAAAGCGTTCATCCCAAAGCACCCCTCGCTGTACAAAAGGCCCAGAATGGATCACCAAAAATGATTGATTTCATATTTGGCGTGTCGCATACTCAGCACTGGCATTCATTAAATCTTACACAACATCGTGATCACTATTCCGCTCTTGGCTCACTTGGTTCCGGCGCCGTATCGTATGTTCAAGATAAGTTGGGTGCCGGCGTGTATTTCAACCCTTACGTCACTGTCGAGGGTATACAAATCAAGTACGGTGTCGTCAACATCGACACGCTATGCAGGGACTTGAGTGAGTGGGATACCTTGTATCTTGCTGGTCGTCTCCACAAGCCCGTCAAGATTCTCCGCGATGATCCCCGTGTTCGCCTTGCAAACCAGATCAACCTACTGTCCGCCTTAAGAACCGCTCTGCTCTTGTTGCCGCCTAGTTTTACAGAGCAGGAGTTATACGCTACCATCGCAGGTATAAGCTACCTCGGAGATCCTCGTATGGCATTGCCAACAGAGAACCCGAAGAAAGTTTCAAACATTGTGAGCCACAATATGTTGAATTTTCGCCGGTTGTACGCGCCTCTTGTTGAGTCACTACCCAACGTCTCCTTCAACGACTCCTCTTGCAGCAATGCCAATTGGATCAACGATACCGATGCCGTATTAAATATTGAGCAAGATATGGACCCGGTGAAGCGAGGCAATATGGTGCGGCGGTTACCTAAAGCCTTCCGGTCTAAGCTTTATTTTGAATACCATAAGAAGTTTCAGATTCCACAACTCGAATTCAACAAGATGATGGAGGAAAGCAAAAATGAAGATATGGGATCTTTCAAGCGACAGCAGGGTGGCCGCTTCGAGCAACGAATAGTACAACGGCAGCCTGAAGAACTTCGAGACACCATTCGTGGGGTTATAAAAAAGACTATATCCTGGCCGAGCACTAGCCAGAGCCTTAAAAGCTTTCTCACCGCAGGCTTTTCCCGCGGTTTCCGATACTTGGGAGAAAAACTTGACAAATATCGTCAAGGAAGCAATAACAAGCAAAGTTAACGAATTTGCAACTCAAACTTAACCACTTCTCCTACCTCGCCAGCCTACACTAAAACATGAATACTGAGAGTGGCGTCATTTATCCACAAGAACCGATTTCACATATTACATTCCATGCGAAAGACACTCCTACGATACCACAGCCTATTCTTCAAGAGTTCACCGCAATACTTTCCTTTTGTTCATCTATCATCGTGTTTATGGGGAAAATAGGTGCATGAGTCACTGGTAGCATTCATGGAATCGAAATAGATCTTATCATACTTCACCCTTAGAAGCGCAGGAGGGTTAAAGTCGAATCATTTATACCGCGCACACAATTTCCAGATGGAAGAAAGAGCGCGGATTTGAAGGCGTTCAGTTCCCTTAAAGGCATGGGAATAGGCGTGATATGGGTCGGTCTGCTGTCTATTCATCTGTACATACAATATGATTAATGTAAAAACATTATACACTCCGCGTATCATGCCCATTAGGTTTCTTTGTCTTCAGTGTCTTGGAACCGACGACCAGGGAGGGCTGGAACGTCGCGCAAATCATGGTCTTTGGATAGCCAGAGTCGTGGCTTGGGCGCGCCTAGTCCTCCAGGTATTTACTGTCCTAAAGTACCGGTCAATCCTAAAGTACTGGTCAATACTATGAGTTGATCCTCCATGCCTATGTTATGACAATCTTGCAGCTTCGGGCACATAGACCGTTGATAAGATGGAAGCCCGGTAGCTCTATCTTACATATAACACTACCCAGGTTCACTAATTTTATCTGTTGTTTGATATCATAGCTAGGTGAAGAGGATCGCGACTTGTTAGTTACGCCGCCCCCAGCCTCAGCGGCCCCTAGCTAACAATTACACAAGCCCCAGATCCTCACAGCGCTCAGACATTTTTAGAAGCTCGCGATATGAATGATCGTCTCTCGTGTGATCCTTTTGGGCAGGATCTAACGAATAAGCTTTTTGGTTCCCGGCAAGTGCCGAATAACTCATCAAAGGCCCACAGCTAACATGAAACGCAAAAAATAAGTAGACGGCTCCGTTGCTGGGTATAGTTATAAGGATGGCTTGGCTGCCTTGTGTTGATACCAGCTATGTGGGTGATTTACGGCGTCTGAGCAGGCCACGTTACGCCCGCTTAAGAGCTCTCTCGCTTTAAAGGCACTATCATGGCTTCAACTCGAAACATTTCTCCGGCCAATTCATCACAAGGAAAGCCTTCCACCCCTCCTCAAAAGTTCTTGCACAAATATAGCTACAATCGTCTACTGGTTACCCTCCTCTTCCTCTTCTTCCTGGTAGTGCCATGGGTTTTCTTCGCAGTCCTCAGCTTCAGGCCGATCGGTGGCACAGATTATCAAGCAAAGTCATGGCAAGATGTTAGCGGCAACATATACGAGAGCGTGGTATATACGTCGAATGCGTTGTATCGAGCTTCTGACATTTTTTACATCATAGCTGCTGTGTTGACCTTCCCCATTCTATCAATGCTGCTCAACCATGCCGCTGTCGTCGTTGTCCAGCGACGACACCCGAACCAGCGCGTGAATGCAGCCCAGATGCTAGCCCTAGCTGATGCTCCATGGTCGAGGCTGCCATCGAAGCTTTCGATTTCTCTGCCAAACACTCGCTTTGCTTGCGGGGGTATTGCGCTAGTTGCCCTGAGTAAGCATTTCGAGCTTCAATCGCATCGATGATTAGTATACTAACGTTAGGGCGTTAGGTTTTCTTCAGCTGATCCTGCAATCGGCTCTGGTAACATGGGAGGAGGTGCGAGTAGCGACTAATCGCGATGTGCCTAATACATTCGCATCTAACGAGCACACGCGCTCCAGCTTCGTCGGATACGATTCTACCACTTACCGGATGTCCCATGTGCCAGCTTCTATCGTGACCAAGGAAGTGGCCGCCAGACTGTCCACTGAGTCCAAGAACGCTGCTCAACCTCGGCTCTGGTACGACGGAGGGTCTGGCCCTGACTATAACGGACTTCGCTATGACAATCCATCTCTCTTCGCCGCGGCGTTCCCAACCAGCACTAACACCGGCGTATTACGATACCACGCTATGCGCCTCAATACCTCAGTCCAATGCGACTTGGTTTCACGGGACAACTTTCCAGAGACTTGCCCTGGCCCCTTGCCATTTCATGGGAACCTGTCATTACCGAGCCGTAGAGGGGAAGATGACCCTGCTATTGACACACCGGAAATTAATATCAGCTGGTGTGTTCCGGGCAACTTCAGTGCATCTCCCTGGCCGAGGATTCGAGATCGCCAGGATATCACCGAAGAGATGTTCATTGATGTCTCACAGTCAGCGGATTCTTATTCATACGGGGCTTTCAATAGTTCCTTCACGACACGTTGCACTGCAAATACGACCCGTGGATATTTCGAACTTCCGAATTCTCACAACAAGTTCATGCAAGGTCCCTTACTGGAGAAGTGGACCGAGACTGATCTGGATGGAACTTCCCGCGTTGCCAACGACGAGGCTGATAAGTGAGTCCTACCGCGTTCCAAGAGGCTTTTGCGCTCAAAAATATCCTGGCATGACTGACGCTATAAGAAAATAAGCGTTGAGGATTATTTGTTTCTCGACTGGGACTACCTCAGCAACTTCCCGTACGGGAACAACCATTCCCTCACACCAGGACCTCTCACAACAGCCATGCTTTCCATGCTTGGAAACGAAAGCTGGATTGTACCGCTCCAGAACATCACCGAAGGTTCCGACTCCGCCACCCTGCGTACAATATACAGAGACATGTGCACCGGGGGCATCCCCTTCTTAACCTGGGGAGATTCCGCCAGGGGCTTCAATTATGACCAAGCATCCTGCATCCTCGACGATGAATCGCTCCATTCGCCGCTGTACAGCATCAAGTCCCAGACCTATCACTGGTTCAGCAGTTTCAGCGACACAGGCGTCAGCGCCACACTCGCAGCAGCGACGTTCTTCGCCAACGAGGCGACGCTTACTCGATCCAGCGAGCCACACGGTGTATACAGCGGTGCCGGCGTCATCTATACCGCGCCGGGCGCGATCATGCACAAGCCGGTAATCCCACTCGCCGCATTGATCGTGATATCAATCCTCATCGGCACAGAAGTCTTCGCAATCATATTCCTCGTGAGTTATATATCTCGCAATCCGACGTTCACTAATCGTCTTGATGCTCTCGCCGTCGCGACTGTTGGCGCTCAGCTCTCGGCTGCGGGTGTGCAGTTGCCGCCTCTGCATGAACCTCGTGAGGCGCGATATGAAAAACTCCGGGAACATGATGGTGTTATTGGTCTTAGTCATGGTAGCTTGACGGATGAAGAGGCGGGTCGGCCTGGTCCGAGTGGGAAGATGAGGAATATAGTTGCTAGTGATGAAGAGCAACTTCAGAAAACTATCGTCGTCGGGGGAAATGGTCTCTTGAAGTATTAGAGTAGGTAGTTATATTTGAGTGAAGGATGGCAATGGGGGGATGCAGTTTAGGTGAAGTGATCTGGACTGTAGGAGTATATTGTAGACCGCAAAAATTAAGATTTGATGAATATATTGAGACGCAGTCAACTTGTGCTCACGCTTTTGGCTGACGATTACCCTTGATAAGCTGACTGACACAAGAACTCTTCTCTTACAACAGGACATTCCCAATTTACCAGGGGATACCCCATGCTCCTTATTAACGATCCCACACGTTAAACATAGCTAGGCCCATACCCTGTCCCCGAGCCTCGCAGAACATCTACCTGCTGAACGGCGCCATAAGAAGAACCTGCTGAGAACTCACCCACCTGTGGCGGCAACGGTATCGCTTTCAACTTAGCTTGGATGCGTCTCGCAGCGCTCAGAAATCGGTCTTGCACTTGCGCATAACCCTCCACGACAAGCTTCTTGTCGCGCTTCACGAACTCCCCGTTCACAAGGACATGTTCTATATCGCCAACGCTGGCATGCAGTATCACGGCTGCGATCGGGTCTGTCCAGCCCAGTAATGCCGGCGACCGACCGTCCCAGACTACTAGGTCAGCGACAGCGTCGACTTCTATGACCCCGATATCCTCCCTGCCGAGCGCCAGGCCGCCGTTCCTCGTGGCGAGAAGGAACGCCTGGTTCACGGACATCGGATTACTATCGGGGATCTGCCAGCGGTCGATGACGATCTCGCCGTACAGACGCTCGCGGACGCTCTGTAGCCAGATTCGCGCCTGCGTGAGAATGTCAGTGGAGAAGGTGAAGTGCGTGTCGACGCCCAGAGCAGCTTGGTCTAGGACGAGATGGTTAGAGGGGTGTCCGTGACCGTAGTGCATTTCGGATTCGGGCGTCGTCGACATGTATTGATTGGTACTCCGCAGTAACTGAGCTCCTCTGGCAGTCAGAAACGCGGCGTGCGAAATCACGACGGGTATGCTTGAGTTGAGAAGTCCGGCGCTGTAAATATCTTCGGGTGTGTTTCCGGCTGCGTACCTGTAAGATGATGTTACCACCGTGCGGGACAGACTGACTTACATAGCCATGGGCCTTCAACTTGGTGACATGTGAAGACTGGTACATTGCTGTCCCTGCAGAAGCGGTGAGTTTAGTTGCACTTCCACATAACGAGACATCATAGCATACTTCGCCAATTTGACTACAGATTGAGTGATAGCCGCCGCACCGTCTGTAAAGTCGTCGTATGACAAACTAAGTGTTGACAGATTGGCAGGTGACGAGGCCGCTAATTCTTTCCAATGTTCCATTTGTTGTGGTATTTGGAAGTCAGTCCTCGTGTTCTGGAGAGTGTACGCGAAGAATATCCTAGCACCACTATCAACCGAAGCCCTCCATCCTGCAGAAGCATGCTCCTTTGTCCATGTATGATGGGCATGGTCCAAGATGGTAGTTACACCCGCGGCTTGCGCCTCGTAGATTCCTGTCAGTTGACTGATGTATACATCGTCAGGGGTGAATAGGGATAAAGCCACTGAGGCGCTATATCGTGCAGTGTACTCGGCTAGTGTAGTATTAGATCCTAGCGTTTTGTAAACGGTTTGCCATCCGTGCCGGTGGGTGTCCACGAAACCAGGCGTAATGATCTTCTCGGTGCAATCGACCACCTCTACACCCTCTGGGATATCTGCAGGCAAAGGATTCTCAGATACGGATGTAATGCGACCTTCCTCAACTAGCAGTGATCCATTGCGTATCACATTGAAGAGCCCGGATGCCCTATCAAAGGCAACGATGGTGCCGCCGCTCAAGAGCTTGGAGCATAGGGCGAAGGCTGTATACCAAGGCAGAATGAATAGTAGGCGGAAGCTATAGCTGGCCTGCATGACTGTAACTGATAGGGCCAGCAACAAGTAAAGTATCTTTAACTAGGTAGCTAACGGAAGAGGAGAAAGGGGCATTCCACTTCGCGGGTAACAAGTCGTTAGCTAAATAGGATATGCGTAACAATTGGTTTGCTAAGAACATGCCATTGTGTCAGCGGCACCGGAGCAGCGCTTTGACATTTCATCATCGTGATGGAGAAGAAGCAACAGCTACTCCAATTCTCCAACACATGTTCTACCTGTACATATATAGAATATGGTTAGCCTGAATGCAGTTCCTTGCGGAGTAGACTACGTTGAGAATGAGGTGGTATTTTCATTCTATCCTGGTTATGAGAGTGCCGGGATGTGTATAGCGTTCATGACATGAGAGTTTTGAATCTATGGTTAATTGCAACTCATTAATTGGCAGCATTAAAATTATGAGCATTCCGTTATCAATGAATTGTAATTCATACATACTTTCATCTTGCTGAATCTGTGCTAAGTTGTATGACTGCCTATGATATCCCTTTGGAGTCCAACATAACTCCGTGACCTGCCAAGAGGGCATTGAGCCAATGAATGCAGGGATTCGGTACTTCTGTTCACATGGTAGATGCTGGAGGTACTACGAGAATAACTGCTACTTAAAGCTGCTTTCTCTTTGGAGGAATTAGGTAATAATATTTGGGCGGATTTTGGTATTGATAATGCCAGCACATTGGCAAGGGCACAATAACTAGATCTGGAAGGTCACATAGTTATTTGGTATTTCAAAGGAATAATGCCGTCGCAGGTAAAGGAGAGGTTCAAGGATCGTGATATAGTAACCTTGGTATTCCGATTGCTTGATACCATAATAACTTGGTAATACTTACGGGACCCAATCAAACGTCTCAGTATGTTCTCTCAACCCCGCCGTGGTGTTGAATCGCGGGGTCGATTCCTCCAAATCCTCAAGACTGCCGTTGACACTGATCTAGCTAATGATTGGTACGATGAGCCAGCAATGCCGAGGGCAATAGCTCGACGACGACGATCCCAAGCCTCTAGCCAGGTAACACCCTTGAGCTTTTCGATCCTGATAGGACTTCTTGTTTCGACTTGGGCTTTCTCCCAATCAGCCTTATGGTCGATCCATTTGTCGGTAGCGCTTGCCCCTCATCCGAAGACGGGCTGTACGCCTATTGGCTGAAGCTTGACGGCAGTTGGATATTTTTAGCAGATCAACTACATATAGACAACATGGCTACTCTGCTTACTCTGCGGCAACCATCTACCCTCCTCGAGAAACTGAGACAGGTGTGAAACTGGAAATGATCATCCATGATAAGAATTTCATCTCTTCCTTCATGACAATCCAGTCAGTTGATGGCCAAGCAGCCACTGTATCATCTATGTAGCCTCATCCATCCATGCAACCCACGTTGTCAATCCGATGGAGTTGACAATGATGTTGGAATCCAGATTCTCGTCGAGGGAAACTTTCGAGCAGAGATTATATGAACTCACAACGCCATAAGTTGCGCGCTAGCGAACGCCGTGCATCTCGTTTTCTCCAGATTCTCTGCGAAAATGAAGTCTATTTATACGCCAGAGAAAGTGATACCAGTATATGCGACATTAACTGGTATCGGTATAGCACTTACTATAACCCGCATCTGGGTTCGAACACGATACATCAGAGTCTCCGTGGGTGCCGACGATGCTGCCGCTGTAGCAGCAGCCGTGTTCGTAACAGGGGCCGTCGGCTTGCAGATCACGAATGCGATCTTAGGCACGGCCGGTGACGATGTCAAGCTGGCCGAGACACAGAGACGAGCACGCATTGCACTGAAAGCCAACTGGATCAACCCTCTACTAGAGGCCTTCGCATTCGGTCTCATCAAGTTATCCCTCTCATTCTTTTACCGCCGCATTTTCGGGGTCTGGCCGACGTTTCGCAGGATCAACAATGCTGTTATCGTGCTCTTGGTGGGGTATTCTCTCGCGTTCGGCTTCGGCCAACTCTTCCTCTGCGGCACCAACTTCTACCTCATCTGGGTTGACCTAGACCAGCATACTGCCAGAGAGCGCTGTGCCGAGAGAGGTCACTTTCAGTTCTTCTTCGCTCTCTTCAGCGTATTGACTGATATACTGGTTGTTGGACTACCGTTGCTATTCGTGGCGAAATTGCAGATGTCCACGAGAAGGAAATGGGCGTCAGCTGTGGTATTTTTCTTAGGTTTCGCGTAAGTCAAAGATAATTCTCCCCTCATCTCTATCTACTATTCAAATGCGCATCGCTGATATGGTACCTTTAGGTCAACTGGGGCTAGTATTGCGCGTTTGATATATGTCTCCGAGGCTCTGAAGTACGGCTGGTTCAGCTTCAACTTCAAGCCCGCCCCCGGGGAGCCGGCTATACCTTCGCCAATCTTCGAGACACTTAATCCTACTCTTCTTGCCACGATTGAGATGAGTCTCGGTCTATGGGGCGCAAATCTGCCTGCACTATCACCTCTGTTGCGCAACTTCCACCCGCTGCGCCGTGTTGGAGAATTATATGGAAGGTTCACGTCATTATGGTCGTCTACATCAGTAACAGACAAACGACTTTTGAGTACAGAAGAAAGCAAAGATGGAGAGCGAAAACAAAGTTCCGTATACTAGTTTGATGATTTGAAAGAGAGTTTAGTCCTTTTGGTGCTCAGGGGTTTTGGGGAAGAATTTCATCTATGTGATTTGCTACAAGAAGGTAAATTGTTCAAGGTATTTCGAGGTGTCGGCACTTTCATAGTCGTCGGGCTGTCACGTTCGAATGTAAGGTAGTCTGCCTTCTAGAAGAAAGATGCCTTCTTCAGCGCAAGACTATGTATCATTTCAAATCAAAACTCGTATATTCTAGCGATTCGACCGGCTAATTGATTGGCTAATTGGCGCGGATCGGGATACTGGTATTAGTTATACACGATACAGAGGTTCAGATGACACCCAGCGAATCAAAACCCTCGACTCTTACCACTACCACAACTCTTAGTTAAGCCTGTTCACTTGGCCTGTGCCTTGGCGAGCGATTTCAACGTTATGTTCAAGAAAATGGCACTACATTCATTATGGATAGTGATAGCTACGCGCTGCCGAGGTCTAGAGGAGAGCAGTGTGTTATTTTGTCGTGCTCATGTAAACGAACTCGTTCTTCCTATGTTTTAATTAATCGCGAAGTAATACTATTGCTAACCCAGTACTATGGTATTGTCTTGGTTCAGCTCTCAGGGAGTCCTTACTTCACAAATTAAATGACAGTCCTCTGTATTGATGAGAGAAGAAATAATAGGGGAGAAGCTACATAGTACACGCCGAGAACGCTTGCGGGCAGAGAATGAGTGTGGCTGATTATTTGATTCGCTTCTGTTGGCTGCCCAGTGGCGTGCTCCTTGGGTGCCTACGGTAGCAGGGTGACATTGAGGGGCGCAATGTGGTGAAATCAGCCCAAAGGCTTGATGGCATTTTGCTAGCCTTAAAATTTTCTCTCACCTTCTCTCCGTTTTGAATATGGTGACTCGTAGGAGAACAGTTCAGTTCAATGATCATGGACGGACTAACCGTAGCCGCAAGCGTAGCTGGCCTAGTTTCACTGGGCCTCACAGTCACGCACTCACTCATGGAATTCTATTCAGCATACAAACATCAGAATAAGAACATCACTGACACCTTCAAGAAGTTGGAAAAGCTTGAGAACATGCTAGAGATTCTACGAGACCAGCTGGCCGACCGTTCATCTCTCACCAATGACCAACGCCTACTTGATAATATCGAAGAGCTAATTGAAGATTCCAAGGATTGTATTCACGACTTGCAGGATGAGTACAACAAGCTTAAAAATAACGGCGCCAAGGCCCTTAAAGCCACTGCCCTCACTACTGCCCGCAAGCTAGCATACCCGCTTCGTCAAAGCACACTACAAAAACTCGACGAAGATGTCGAGGAGCTACTATCGCACATTTCCCTGGCACTGCAGCTGCTACAGCAGAAAGATATTCAAGAAGTCCACGACGATACTTTCCAGATCAAAGAGTTGCTAGAGATGGTTAGAGCGAGCCAAGTATCCACAACTATTCGTAGCTGGCTCAATGCTCCCGATGCCACGACTAGCTACCACGAAGCTTGCAACAAGCGCCATAAGGACACGGGCCTTTGGCTCGTGAATGGTGCCTCATTCCGCGACTGGCTTACGAAGTCGAACTCTTTCCTATGGCTTTACGGTTTCGCGGGCTGTGGAAAGTCAGTCTTGTCCTCTACGATTATCCAGCGCTGTATTAGGCATCGAGGATCTAATGCACGCACTGGTATCGCCTTCTTCTTCTTCTCTTTCAGCGATAATGATAAGCAGAACCTTTCCAGTATGCTTCGCACGCTGATCTTACAATTATCCGGCCAACTTGATGACAACAGGGTACTACTCTCGTTACATGATAATCATCGCAACGCCATACCTCCCAACCAAGCTCTATTCAGTTGCTTGCTTCAACTATTACGAGCATTCGACGATACATATATCATCGTAGATGCCCTAGATGAGAGCCCTCGCAACACGTCCCGGGACGAAGTCCTGAGAACCCTAATCGACTTGCGCAAGTGGTCAGAACCCGGCCTTCATTTACTTGTCACAAGTCGTGACGAACCCGATATTCATGATGCAATTCATGAGGAGATAGGAGCCTTGCCGCATGAAATGATATCTATGAAGAATGGCGCTATCGACGAAGATATCAAACGTTATGTGTCGGATTCTCTGAAGTCTGTCCGTTATTTGCGCCGTTGGGATAAATACCACGATGAAATTGAGAAGGCTCTCACTACGCGGGCCAACGGTGTGTAAGTAATGTAAACTCCATGTTAGACCATTGCTAATTACAGCAGATTTCGATGGGTCGAATGCCAGCTTACACAATTGAACTCTTGTGTCAGCAAGCGCCAGTTGGACAAACTGCTATCATCTCTGCCTTCGTCGCTGGACAAAACATACGAGAGAATGCTGCAAAACATTGGTGAAGAGTCTGTCGATGATGCAAGGCGTATGTTGACTCTATTATGCTGCGCGAAACGGCCCTTAACGGTATTAGAACTCATTGAGGGCATTGCAGTAGAACTCGGAGATAACCCGCGGTTCAATATCGAGGGGAGACTGGACTACGAAGAGGATCTATTACGGATTTGCCCTGGATTCATCGAAATCCATAGGGACCGCGTACGTATCGCACACTTTTCAGTCCAGGAATACCTAGAATCAGACCGGATACGAGAACACGCAGTAGCCATCTTCGCTGTTAACAGATCACAAGCTCATGCCGAGATAGCCTCTCTTTGCCTAACATACTTGCTAGAACCCGGATTGATAACTTCAACTAACGAGGACTACCCGCTTGCCCACTATGCTGCGAAGACCTGGGATCAACACTATCGCAACGCAGATCAAAGTCTGTACCATCTTGATGATCAAACATTGCAATTATTTTCAGGTACCAGAGGAGAGTTCGAGAACTGGTTAAATATCTATAGGCCAGATGCCTCAGCTCCAGCTGTGCACCCTAATCTAAACCCAAGCCCCCTCTATTACTCTTCCTTGTTGGGGCTAGATAAAGTCGTCTGCCAGCTGATCAATCAAGTTTATCCCAAGGGCGCAAATGTCAATGCACAAAGTGGGTATTTTGGCAATGCTCTACAGGCAGCTTCATCTAAAGGCTATGAAGGAATAGTCCAACTATTCCTCAAAGAGGGTGCAGATGTCAATGCACAAGGTGGGTATTTTGGCAATGCTCTACTGGCAGCTTCATATCATGGCTATGAGGAAATAGTCCAACTACTCCTCAAAAAGGGCGCAAATGTCAATGCACAAGGTGGGTATTTTGGCAATGCTCTACAGGCAGCTTCATCTGAAGGCCATAAGGAAATAGTCCAACTATTCCTCAAAGAGGGTGCAGATGTCAATGCACAAGGTGGGTATTTTGGCAATGCTCTACAGGCAGCTTCATCTCAAGGCCATAAGGAAATAGTCCAACTACTCCTCAAAAAGGGCGCAAATGTCAATGCACAAGGTGGGTATTTTGGCAATGCTCTACAGGCAGCTTCAGTCTACGGTCACACGAAAACGATTGAGCTGCTGATGGAAAGGGGGGCAACTGTTTATGCATCGCGCAGTAAGCATGGATATGACAATGCGTTGATCGCGGCAGCGGAAGGTGGTCATGAAGAGACGGCCTTACTGCTTCTCGAAAAGGATACAGATGTCAACCCCGAAATGCGCTACTGGGAAGTCGCACTAGTCTCAGCCGTGGAAAACGGCCTGAGTATGCTAGTTAAGGCCCTTATAGAAAAGGGTGTGGACGTTAACACGCAAGTTGGACGTCACGGCACCAGTCTGCTGCAAGATGTCTCACGAAATAAAGACAATGAAGACATGATTAAGTTTTTGCTTAAGAAGGGAGCCAACCCAAACGCAACAGATCACTCTGGCTCTACAGCATTATCATATGCTGCTTATGAAGGACACCTGACCAATGTCAAGGCTCTTTTGGAGGTCGCCAGCCCAGTAGATGTACTTCATCGTTCGCCCCTATTTTACGCAGCAATGATGGGCCATGATCAAATGCTGCAGTACTTACTCTCAGAAACTGAAATGGACCCAAACTGCCAGGATTACTACGGCGCAACGCCGTTATCTGCTGCGGTCCGGAACAGGCGGATGGGACCGGTAGAGTTGTTGCTCGGTGTGCCTAGCATCAACTTGAAGATCGAGGATAACTTTGGACGGACACCACTGTGGTGGGCCACTCACATCGGATCTCCCGAGCTCGCGGAGCTCCTCGCTAATCCCGGAAGAAATGGAAGCTTGCACCACGAAATGGACAACTGTCATGGAATGTATGGTTATTGTGATGTTTGTTTGTTGGTATTTTACGATAAGAGTTCTTACTATTACGAATGTGAACTTTGTTTAGATAGGGGTTTCTGTATGTGCTCAGATTGCTTTGATATCGGCGCCAAGTGCCTGAGCGACTGTGGGAAAATGACGAGGGGGAAATGGGGATGTTGAGTCTAATGGTAGAATATTGTGCGCGTCCGACATGCTCAGCACGCGGTTAATGTTTTCATCTCAACGCTTATCCTGAATTTGTGTCATGTTCTCTGCGTCGCGCGTATAGTCTGCTCTACCTACTGTTTTGATAGAACTAATTTACATTATTATAGCTTGCTACCTAGAGTTCGATACCTTTCTGTCCCATTCAATTCCTTCAAAAAGCTTACTTTATTCACGATATCTCAAATCCAGTGCCAGATTGCGAAGCGTTTAGAAATTTATCTCGCAAGACATTTCCCAAGCACAGTATAACTGGGAAGCATACCGGCCGGAAGGCGATGGGGGCTAATATACCCTTTTATAGCACCCCTTCAACCTGGCCTTTCCACTTGCCCACAGCCAATCTAGATCTAATCCAGTTTATGAAGCCCGAGAAATTCAAATCAGTGATGGTCAGGGAAAAGAGCGCGACTTCTCTTTAGATGTGCATGGATTTGAATTCATAGAGATGCCGCCTGGAGATACACAGCGGGACGGCGACGCGATCGAAAACGAGTATCTAACACTCATAGAATCCTTGCTTAAGGAGCATCTGGGGCTGATATAGTCGTTTGTTTCGATTACGCAGTGAGTCTTTTAGTGATAATCCTGCCGAATAATTCCGGGCGGTTAACGTAAAGAGTGGGGGACTAGTGACGGGAAGTCAGATGAGGTTTAACGGAGGGCGAATATGTTGAGTGGCGTGACAAGAGACCAGGTGCTAGAAATGGCACACGGGTATGTAATAGACCAAATGCCGGAGGCGGCGATGAGCTGCCTGCGGCTTCATCATTCTCTAACTTAAACATGCAGCATTAGCCCCGAGTTAGACCCCCACCCCTGACCGCCCAGGTTCAATCAATCCATCCCATCCCGCGAAGTCCGTATGGACCCCCATTCAAACTTGATACAAGACTCTCACTCGCAATGTAAGAATGGGATACCAGATTATGTCTGTTACGATATTGATAGGGGATATGAATACTATGAAAATTACTTATAACATGATGGGTTATAAGCTACAATACACTTGAATGGTGGAGACAGGGGTATTATACACAGTTTCCGGATTGTAAGTATCCCAGCGCTCTGGTTTCAGAATCCTATTCGGTGCTCGTCGGCATTTTCTCATATGGGGGTGCAGGCTCATACTGCGGCAGATCGGCATTCTTACTTTCCTCACCGGCAGGTTGTGAGGAAGGCCCCGCTACGGCAGGTGGTGGATGGCGAGCGACCTCAAGTGGCGGGTGTACGAGGATGGGGTATTCTTTGTCGATATGCCTCACTTTGTCAGTGAGCTCAAACGCAAAGCTGATCTTCGTCGTATATGTCTGCGCGATGTTGAAGGTTGTAAAAGACGAGGCAAATGCGCCTAGTCGTCCAGTACCGATAGCTTCCGTGTTGACGAATTTCGTGTTATCGTTGGCTTTGGAGAATGGCTGTCGGCTGTCTATCATACCCATCATCTCGCATACTGTATAGTTTCCCTCGGATTGCGGACATGTGAATATCGACCTATCTGCCCGAACTTGTGTGAAGGCCGAGATCTCCATGCGGAAGTATTTCAGATAAACATCGGGTATCAGAGGTGCGGTGCACTGATCTGCCCGAGGCTTTATCCTGACTTCAAAGCAAACCGGCTGACCAAGGTGGATGTGAGTAGGTGCCGAGCACTCCCAGTCAAAGGAATATATGGGATAATCAACTGCGCCAAGTAGAGCCTTCGTCTTCTGCCTGAAGCCGGATGGTCGATCTGACTCTGGCAAGAGCAACTCATTCCTCACTGCTGCGAAGCCACTCCAGGTAGTGATATGACTCCGGCTCTGGTCTACGGGAATCCGTGGGGGCTCGTAGTGAACAATGGGCTCTTGGTCCTCGGTCGGCTTGTTCACATCCACTCGCAATTGGGGCATTTCGATATTCACCCCGACACGGTATTCGACAAATGATTCATACCTATGCGCGAAGCCATGATAGTTACTTCGGAAGCTTGGCGGCAGCGGCTGACACGGAAGCGTGTTGAATCTGGGGTCCTCCTTGAAATCGTCTCTTAGGAGAGACTGGGTGGCCTCGGGGAAAATAAGGCTGAATGGAAATGATTCCATCTGGCCTGGCTGGGCTCTGAATGAGTCATGATATATTTCTTGCTCGCAATGAATAAGTGGTGCCCGTCCACGATAAATGCTGGTGCTTTTGCCGTTAGACTTCCAGATTTTCGTTTTGGCGCGACCATGGAGAACGACGATGACTCGGAGAGGCCCGAATAGCTCTGCATTTGGGTTCCCCGGACCACGCTGGTACCTGATGTTGATGCGCCCCTGAACTGGCTCGCGACTACCACAGTGAATCTTGGTAGGTTCATCGAGGATGATGCTTGCACCAAGTATGCCGACCGACATTGTCAGAGTCGATTGAGTTGCGTGGACTAGCCCGGTGGAGTTGGTGGTGGGTGTTGCGATGATGCGATGATGCGGTGGTGCAGACGGAAGAGGCTATGATGATTTACGGCAGCGCGGAAATCCTTTCATACAGGCACCATACTATCATACCATAAGATATCACTTATTCCTTCACTGCATCCCACGGCACCGCCGCTGACCAACATCCAACTTGGTGTGGCGATGGTGGGGCTGCGTAAGCAACGGTTGGGACCGGTGACATGCGGTGATCATCATCTAATGAGACGATTCAAACTTGGAATGGGCAAGATATGTATCTGATATACCTATACAGTAGAAGGAAATGATGCTCGAGGTACTGTACGGGTGGAACTCAACGTCAGTTATCTCATATTTGTCGACAGCTTGATGTATGTAAATAGATAGAGGCAGACATTTCAATGTGCGAAAGGAAGCCGCAAGGCCAATATTGAAGTTCACGCTAGCTCCTGCTCCCATAAACTAGACGGATATTCAGATCGTCACAATCTTCAGAAGTGTCCGTAGCGCCAGGAATTACAACACTAGTGCTGACTTCTAGCAAGACACATATAAAAAGTTAGATAGATGAAAGGCGCGTCAATGATGAGCTTTGGGAGTGGGTGTGGCCGCTCTAAAGTCTACAGGTAATCAAGCAACTAATGGCTGTCCCGTTGGGGGGGATTCCAGTAGGTAGGGTTACAAAAACGCCGCAGTGTACCTATGCCTTATGGAGCAGTCTGACGTCACAACGCATGTCTTCTCATCCAGTTTTCATTATGTAAACTCCAATTGTCTCTAACTGGCTCATGCAATAACGAGCCGTAACAAGGGCAGTAGTGGGTTCAAAAAATAACCACACACCCTACCAATTTTACCCCCTATAACCCCTACACCTTTCATTTCCGCATTGACCTTTCTTATTTCCACCTTTGTTATTAATTATATTCAATTAAACTTTATATGAAAAGTAGACCTTTATATAAAATAGAAGATTTTAAATTTAATAGTGTAGTTTTTATAATTTTCCGATTTTTTTATGTAAAATATAGGTGCCCCTAAGTATAATACTTTGCGAAGGGAGTTATGGTGGCTGGCCTGGTGACCCACCTAGGGCTTGGGGCCCAGATGGCCACACTGTTACGTATATCGCAATCATTACGTAACTATCGCTTCGCTATATATACTAAAATACTTTGCTATACTTTTTATACTTAAAATATTTCCTTTATTTTTTATTTTATAATAAATATATAAATAGTACCCTAATATAAGCTTTATTTTATATATAACATTTTAATTATAATAATTATAAGATTAACCTAATAGTTAAAAAGCTTTATATCTATATTAATTAAACAACCTTATTAACCTTATTAGCGTTTAATGGAAAGATTTATTAATTGGACTTTCTTTTAAACCTTATAGGTAATTTATATTAAGGTAAGTAATTATTTTTTAAAATAAAAATTAATATAATATAGCTTATTTAAATAAAGGTATAAATTAATTTTAAAACGAACTTACTTTATTAATTATATTTAGCTTATTTATCCTAAATAAGTTTTTAGAGGATAGGCCCATTATGCTTAAATTAATTATACTTACTCCTAATAATGGAAAAAAGATTATAAAGTTTAACCTTAAAAATATAATAATGCTATATATATATTATAAATAATTTTTTAAAATTAAATTAGGTTATTACTCCTTTAAAGCTTTAATTATTAACCTATTTAAGGATTCCTATATTAATAGCTATTCCGAATTTAAAAATAATAACTTTTTAAATACTTAAAAGGAACTTACCCCTATTTATTAATAAAAATTTTAAATTATTATAAAAAGGGATACATTAACTTTAAAATATATAGTTAATATAAATAATATCCATTATAAAATAAATATATATACTTTATAAATAATGGTTAAATATATATAATTAAAAAAAAGATATTATTAATTATTACTTTAAAGCAATTACTTTTATTAAAAGAATTACATTCTTTATATTTAATGGAATAATAAACTAGGAAATATTTAATAATATATATAAGATTAACTATAAAGCCCTATTTTAAAAAATTATATTACAGTTTTATATTATAAAAATATAGGACCTTATTATTTAAGATTTTTATTATTAAACGTTTATTAAAAGCTTTAACTTTAAAGTTATAAAGATTTAGGTTAAAAATATTTATTAAAAGAAAAAATAATAATTAAATAAATTAAAAGTAATATTTAATACTATATAATAAAAAATTAAGGATAAAAAAGTAAAAGTAAATAAAGTAAATTAATTAATTATTAACCTTATTATATAAAGCTATAAATAATCCTTAAATTCTAATAATGGTTTTAATAGTAGATTTAATAAACTTAATTTAAGCAGATCTATTATTAATTCCTTCAATAAAAATAGTTAACTAAAAAAAAAAAGTTATTAAAAATTAATATATTTATTTTTTCTAACAACTTTATAACTAATAAGGTTAATTTTATAGTTTAATATTATAATTAAATTAATTATTTTAAAAATAATATAAATTAATTTTTTATTAAATAGTTTAAAATGTTTAATATTAAATTCTATTTAAGTAAAAAGGTAGCTTAGAACTTTATACTTTACTTTAAAAATAATTACTTAAAGCAATTAAAAATGCTTAAAGTATTTATAAAATATTTAAAGTAAAAATATAATAACTTTAATAAAAAGTAAAAGGTAAATGTTAAATTTAAGAAATTAAAAATAGAAACCCTTATTAACTTTTAAACCTTTAAAAACTTATTTATTTACTTTATTAAAAAACGTTACCTCATTAAAGGAGATTAAAAGTAGGAATTTTATAATTAATTAAACTTTTATATTAAAAATTAAATTATTTAAAAATATTTTAATAAAAAAATTAAATTTAAAACATTTATTTTTTAATATAAATAGTTTATTTATAATATAACTAAAACTAATATAGTAAATAAATTATATAAAATAACTAAAAAGAATTAATTTAGCTTTAATATTAAGAATAATAATATTAATAATTATTAATAAAATTAAAATTAATTTATAAATAACTTTAATAGGTTTAAATTAATAATAAACTTTTTATTAAAATCCTTTAAATTTAATCTACTTTATAATAAATTAAAGAAGTGAATTAAATAAAGATATTACTTTATATATAAGGAAAAGGGATATATTATTAAGAATTGCTTTAAAAATGGATAAATATTAAAACTGGTTAAATTTAATATTAAATATAAGGCTTATATTATAATATTATATATTTACTTTAAGGATAGAAAGGATAATAGTAATAATATAACCGAAAACTTTAGGAATAATAAATTAAAAAATGCTTAACTTTAAGGTTATTAGATTTCCTTTTAAGGATTATATTAAAAATCGCTAATATAAAAAACTTTTTAACTTTATATATTAAAAAACATCCATTTTTTATAAATTATATAATAAATGTAAATTAATATAAATTTAATTTATAAATATTTATTAATATAGAAATAAATAAATATTTATTTATAAATTTAACTATTATTAAAAAAATAATGTTATTTATTAATATTAAAATTATAAAGAATTTTATAAAACAATTAATAGTAGGATATAATATAAAATTCCGCTAAAGTATAATAAAAGCTTTAATGGTAAACTTTTATTTATAAAGATAAACCTTTAAAAAGGTACCTTTAATAATAATTAATATAAAGCATTTAATCTTAATTAGGAAGGTATTTTATTAAATATATAATATATTACTTAATATTTAAAAATAATATTATATATTCCTATTAAAGTTATTATTTAAGGATAGGAAAGAGAATAATGAAAATAAAGAAAATATAATAAAGTTTATAATATATTAATATTTTAAATTTATTTAAAAGCTAAAGCTACTATTATTAATAGTAAAAAATATATTTAATAAAACCTATATTTACCTATTTAATTTATTAATCAACCTATTATTTCTACCCCTTAAAAAGCAAAAAATATATTAAAAGAGCCCTTTAATAACTTTTAACCTTTAAATAAAAGATATAAATAAAATAAACCATTAATTATTAATAGCCCTTTAAAATAAAAAGCCCCTATAATATAATATTTAATTATTATTAAAAAAGTAGGAATATAATATATAAAGTCCTTATTAATTAAAAAAAGATATAATAGGATAATATAAATATTAACCCCTTATTAATGTTTTTATTATTAATATTATACCTTTCTTTTATAATATAATATAAAATAAAGTAAAGGTATAAATAACCTATTTAAACGAAATTAACTTAATAATCTATATAATAAGGGATAAAAATAAACTACTTAAATTATTCCCTAATAGGGAAAGCAAAAAGTTATAATAAAAGGTATAGGATATAATACTTAAGGAATATTAAGATTTACTATATATATTTAATAAAATGGACTCCAATACCTTAGCTTTAAACTATCCAATTAATTATTATATCAAGTTTTTATTAAAAAAAGGAATTAAAGATTTAAACAATAGCCCCTTATATGAAATATTATTTAAAGAATTAAAAGTAATAAAGGAATACATTTTTAATAACCTATATAAAGGTTTTATTATACTAAATAATATATTATATATTGCTTCTATCCTAATAACCTATAAAAAAAATAGTAGTTTTTAATTATATATTAATTATAAATATATTAATGCTTTAATAAAAAAGGATAAATACCTTTTATTATTAATTAATAAGACTTTAATAAAAATTATAAAAGTAAAAATCTTTATTAAAATTAATATATAATAGGTATTTTATTATATTTATATATATTTAAACTATAAAGATTTAACTATATTTAAATATAAAGTATTATTATTTAATTTAACTAATAGCTTAATTATTTTTTAATAGTATATAAATAGGATTATAGGTAAATATTTAAATAATTTTTATAATATATATTTTAATAATATTTTAATTTATTTTAATAACTTAATTAAATATTAAAAGTATATTAGGAAAGTTTTAAAGCGGGTTTAATAAATAGGCCTATAAGTTAATTTAAAAAAATATAAATTTTATATTACCAAAATAAAATATTTAAAATTTATTATAAAATATAATAAGATTAAAGTTAACCTTAAAAAGATTACTATAATATATAATTAAAATAAATTAATTAATATAAAAGTAGTATAATTATTTTTAAAATTTTATAACTTCTTTTAATAATTTATTAAAAAATATAATTAAATTGCTAAACTATTATATAACTTTATTAAAAAAGATATTATTTTTTATTAGGATAATGTTTATTAAAAGGTAT